TCCCATTGGCTGAGCAGCGCCAAGGGTTCCCCCCACCCCAGCCCCTCGCTCAGCCCAGGAGCCCCCGGGACTCGCGCGCTCCAAAGAGGGGGAAGGGGCCCCTAGGTAGGGGAACAGTGAGGACAGGTGCGACGGTCGGCCTTGAGACGGCCAGGGAGGGGACTGGGGGTTTGCACCCCCACCCCCGACTGCAAGGGCTGAGGAACCTGACTTGGAGTGGGCTGGTCCCTTAATGCCCTGGCCGCCCACCACGCCAAGCACCCGCTGGGTACACACAACAGGCGCTCAAAGCCTGCCGTAGGTGACATGGTCGAGACCTGGGCCCTCGGAGGACAAGCCCAGGGTCAGGGGAGATCCGGGAAATGTGAAGGGCAAGATAATCTGGAGGACCCGGGTGGGGCGCGATTTGAAATAAGGATGGGTGAGACTTAGGAGGGGCATGCACTCTGAGCAGCGGTGACCTCCCAACACACACACACACAGCCCGATCTCCGGGGTTATTCGGGGGCCCTCCTGCACAGAGAGGTAACATTCTGACACGAGTTGCGGCCTCCTAGCTGAGGGATCAAAGGCCCCTGAGCGCGAGGTTCCAGCCTGGGGATCCCCTTGTACGAGTGGCCCTCCCTCCCTCTGCAGCGCGGGCCAGCCTTGCAGGCCCAATCCGCGGCGGGCTCGGGGCCCTGCGGCGCTGCGGCGGCCCAACCCCTCGGAAAACCCTGGCCTAGCCGCAGGCCCCTCCCCCCCCGCCGGCCAGCTGGCTCGCTCCAGCTGCAGCTCCCTTATTTAGGCAAGGAGGCCTGAGGATGCTCAAGGGCAGGCAGGGTGTCTGCCCGCCGCCTGCCCACCGCCTGCCTGGGTCTGAGTGAGGGTCTCTGGGGCGCGGTGTCCCCGGCATGAGCAGCCAGGCAGGGCCCTGCGAAGGCCAGGGCATGAAGGCAGAGTGTTGACAGCTGAGCTGGCCGGTGGGGAGGCGTTGGGGCCGCTGAATGGACAGCCGTGCGTCCCCTCCCCTGCAGCCGAGATCTGAGACCCGGCTAGATGGATGGGGCCATGTGGGGGCCCCTGAGGGCTTGCAGCTGCCTCTGTCCTTGGAGCAAGGGGGTGGGTCTTGTCACTGGGGAGAACCATCATGGGATGTAGGGGGAGGGGAGGAACAAAGGGCAAAGAAGGAAGCAGAGTCTGGAAGGAGAAAGGCCCAGAGGAAGAGGTCTTGGTGAGACCACCCTACCCAGACTCTCACCTTCCACCCAGAAGCAAAAAGATGCAAACATTGGGGCCAGATGGGGCCATTGGCCAGCAGATGACACCTCTTTTTTATTTGCTGGTGGGTGGGCAGTGACTCAGGGAGGCAGCCAGTGGGAGAGAAGGAGGTGGCTCCATCAGCTGATGCTAAAAAAGACCAGAGGCTCTTGCCTGTACAGTCATCCCCTCGGCCCTCTCCACCTCCCTCCGGCAGCTTCCTCACTCCAAGATGCTCCGGGCCTTCCGTAGCATAACTCCCCTTCTTTTGTGACCTGGCATTAGACACATCAACCCATATGGGTCCTGCCCAGCTCCTCCCCAGCCCACGACCACTCCTGGATGCTGGGTTGCCTGCCCTAAGTC